TTTTTTTGTTTTTTTTTTTTGAGACAGGGTTTCTCTGTGTAGCCCCGGCTGTCCTAGAACTCGCTCTGTAGAGCAGGCTGACCCTGAACTCAGAGATCCACCTGCTTCTGTCTCCTGAGTGCTGAGATTAAAGGTGTGCTCCATCATGCCTGGCTTCACCCCCAATTTTTGGGGGGATTTTTTGAGACAGAGTTTCTCTGTTTAACAGTCCTGACTGTCCTGGAACTCACTTTGTAGCCCAGGCTGGCCTCGAACTCATAGAGATCCTTCTGCCTCTGCCTCCTAAGTGCTGGGATTAAAGGTGTGCATCACCACTGCCTGGCTTCACCCCCAGTTTTTAAAGTGAGGACCACAAGCTTGCAAACAAGCTGTCACAGCCTTATACAAAAACTTCTATATGACATTTCTTCAGCCCAGCAACTAATTTGTCCACCTCAGACCAACACAGCTCTTGCTATTAATCATTGTGTCCTGGGCTCATTGTTTCTAAATATCTGACCTAATCCTCCCATCTTATGTTGAAAAATGTCCACCTGAGCTGGGCGTGGTAGCACAAAGCTGTAATTTCAGAATGTTGTGGAGGTAGAGGCAGGAAGATCAGGGGCTAAAGGCCATACTTAGAAAGTTTAAGATCCGTCCTGCAGGAGACACTGACAAAACCAAGGGCCCCAGAAGAGGTTAAAAGCAATACTTCCTGGATGTGTGGTGTATTAGTTAACTGTTCAGAGCCTCAGTTTTCTCATGTATAAAATGGGCATAGGAGTTATAGTCTGTATCATGAGGTTGCCTGCAGGATCAGAGGGCACACATCGCAATGACTCCGTATACTTGTTGTTACTAAAAGGATCATGGCGGAAAGCTGAGGACGTGGTTCGGTTGATCAAGTGCTCACCTAGCATGCTTGAGGTCCTGGGTTTCATTCCCCACACAGAACCCCAGTCATGATGGCACGCACTTGGAATCCCAGCAATTCAGAGCTGGACACAGGAGGATGAGGAGTTCAAAGTCACTGTTGGCTACGTAGTGAGTTCAAGGCCCAAAATAATGCTGAATAAGCCAGGAGTAGGGAAAGTGAATCTTCACAGGGTGTGTGGGTCTCACGTTCCAACAACTGTCTCGAGGAAATGATGTCATTATGAAAGAGGTAAGGAGAAAGAGAAAGGGCTGGAGAGATGGTCCAGTGGTTAGAACCACTTGCTCCTCTAGCAGAGGACGCAGGTTTAGTTCCCAGCACCCACATCAGCCAGCTCACAACTGCCTGCAATCCCGTTCCAGGGAATCTGAGGCTCTCTTTTAGCCCTGAAAGGCATCGGTATGCATATGGTGTGTATACATGCACTCAGGCACAGGCACACAGGCATATACATAAAATGAAATAGAAAAATAAATCTTAAAAAAAAAAAAAAAAAACGAGCCAAGCCGGGTAGTGGTGGCACACACACCTTTAATCCCAGCATTGGGGAGGTAGAGGCATGTGGATCTCTGTGAGTTCAAGGCCAGCCTGGTTGTCCTGGGTAGCCAGGACAACCAGGGCTACACAGAGAAACTCTGTCTTGAAAAACAAACAAAACAAACAACAGAAAAAGTAGAGGGTGAAGACGGGCCTCCGTTGGTGGAGTGCCTGCCTTGCATGCATGAGGCCTAGGTTCCGTCTCCAGAATGATACAAACTGGACATGGTAAAACATGCATGCCTGAGGATCAGAAGTTCAAGGCTGGGTCGGGGGATGTGGCTCCGTTGGCAGAGTGCTTGCCTAGCATGCACAAAATCCCAGTGTCTATCCTTAGTGCTTCATTAAACTGGGCATAGTGGTGCACGCCACATTGACATTGCTCTGTGACTTCTAACAGTTCTCCCCTGTGTCAAGCAACTCAAAGAAAACACAGATTCAAGCAATGGATTATCCGGGGAGCTTCCAGGGCCTCCTGTTCCATGCCTGTGCTCTCTATAATATGTACATATACATACATACTACAATATATACCATCCATCTATCTACCTATCTATCTAAACTATATTGAGCCCTCCTAATAAGTCATTTATTGCCCACCTCTTGTGTTGGACCTAACATCCTTGAGACTATCAGGTACAATCTTTTTAGAAAGGTACAAACAACTTCCACCAACCTGAAGGCTAAGAAAGTTCTTGGATAGCATCTGAGATGGCCTCTCTTTCCTGTGACCCGCCTACCTGATGTATTTGAGAAATACCTTGACTTATGACTTTCTTTGTCCTTTATGAATGTAAAACTTGATGACACTGTTACCACATTGGGCCATGGTATTTGGGCTAACCTAAATCTGATTCTGGACCATGGTCACTTCTTTTGGTTTCAGAATAAATCATCTTATTACCTTTCAGGTGTGAGCTATGTTTTGTGTTAAGGAGGGAGGGGACCCTTTTAGTCACAGAATTATTCAAATGTATACAACGTGTACCGATCAGTCTGCTTTCACAATCATCAGCATTAGCTACTGTTTTTCTTTTAGTGTGTGTGTGTGTGTGTGTGTGTGTGTGTGTGTGTGTGTGTGTAGAGATGAGCATCAGATGTCTTTCTCTTCTTTTTTTTTTCACAGCTGAGGACTGAACCCAGAGCCTTGAGCTTGCCTAGATGTCTTTCTCTATCATGTCATTGCACATCTTATTTGTTAAGACAGGGACTCAATGTGAGCCTGGAACCCAATGTTTTGGGCAGGCTGGCTGGCCAGTGAGCCCCTGGGATTCGCCTGTCTTCTCCATTCAGCACTGGGGTTACAGATACTGCACCTGGCTTATCCATAGATGCTGGGAATCGAAACTCAGATTTTTTTCGGGGGGTAGGGTGGGGGTGTTCTCCGTGTAACCCTGGCTGTCCTGGAACTCAATCTGTAGAGGAAGCTATCCTCGAACTCAGAGATCCACTTGCCTCTGGTTCCGAACTCAGATCTAAAGCTTGTACAGCAAGCACCCGACCCATGAGTCACCCCCACGATCACTCCACCTCCAGCATTCCTGTCAGCTCCAGTGTCCCACGCTCTGGATTATGGCATTCCTGTTTCTTCTAGGGAGCTGCAGTGGCCCGTTACTCATGGTCTTTATGGAAGATCCTTGAGGAATCCTTTAACACGAATTCTCTGAATCATTCTACACTTGCTTCCTGTCACTGCCCCAAGAGATTCAGCCTTCAGCAAGAGTGTCCAACTTATGACCATCTAGGTCCTCGATGAAGATAAACAGCAGCTTGGTTGTTTTCTTGTTGAAGAACCACAGAACCAGGCAATGTTGTAACTGGTGGTTCCTTTCTCCAGCTCATGAGAATAAAATGTGAAAATTTTAAAAAAAGTCATATTTTCTCCAGGCATGGTGGTGCATGCCTTTAATTCCAGCACTCAGGAAATAGAGGCAGGAGGGTCTCTGTGAGTTTGAGCCCATCCTGGTCTATAGAGTGAGTTTTAGGACAGCAAGAGACGCATAGTGAGACCCTGTCTCAAATGAACAAACAAACAAACGAACAAAAACCAAAAAATTAATACAGAAAGGTTTCTACACTATTTTTTTTTTACTCAGACTGACTTCAAACTCCTTATGTAGCTAAGGATGACCTTGAATTCCTGACCCTCCTGTTCTGCCTCCCAAATACTGGTATTTCAGGCTTGTGCCTCCACACCAGGCTAAACTTCTATTGTTTCTGAAATGTGTAAAAGAAACGACGTTGTCTACCCTTTGCAGACTGGCAAAGGGTATCACCTACTCTAGCTGCTGCACTGTATCAATAATTTGTCCCCATTATTGCTCAGTGTTATTTTATGATATTTATGTACATTTTAGCCCTTTATCTGTTGAAGGACATTACTAGTTTGGGGCTATGAGAAAAGGTGAGGCAAACATGTGTGTACAAGTTTTCAATTGCCCAAGGATATAGAGGTTACAATTTTGGGTTTTAGTTAACCGGGTCTCTCATAGTCCAAGGTGTCCACCAAGTACCTATGTAGCCAAGGCTGGCCCTGAATTCCTCCTGATCCGTTTCTGCTTCCAACGCCCAAGATGTCATTGCTTTTAAGGTCTTTTGTGTGTGGGAGGATTGGGATGCGAATTTTACTAGTGTGTGCTTAAGTGCAGATGTCGGAGTACAACTTGTGGGAGTCAGTTCTCTCGTTCTATCCCGGGTGACTTTGGAATTGAGCTCAGATCGTCAGGCTTGGTGGCAAGCTCCTTTAACCTCGGAGCCATCTTTTCGGCCCCCAGGATGTGCACTTAAAATTAAGGTAATATTCCGTAAATTCCTATAGTATTTCCTACTCAAATACAAGAATTCAGGGACTTTGCAACGAGCCCGCTTCCACGTACAGGGAAGCTTTGATCGACGTTCAGAAGTCACCGAAACCTTCAGAACGCTCTGGGGGCACCGCGCAGGACGTCTCCATACGAGGGCAGTGACCATTTTGTTTCAGTGAAAGAGGACGAACACTCTAATCCCAGAACAAATGCGAAGACGATTTTGACAGGTGAGGACGCCACATCCGCGTTCCCCAAAGGACCAGTAGTCTTGCAGGGGATCCGTAGGGCACCTACGCACCGGCGCGCTAACGCCCCGCCTTAAGGGTGAAGTCAGTTCGTGAGGGCGGAAGTGCGCCCGCCCGGAAGCTGGAGGGTGGAGCGATGGGAATGACGCGCAGGAGCGCCAATGGAGTGCCGCGGCGGGCTTGTTGTCTTACCCCGGTGGGTAAGGGCTAACGGTTTCCGGTAGTGGTAGCCCCCCGAGAGGTGGGAGCAAAGAGGCGGGGACGCGTCCCGAAAGCCCGGACCCCTGCAGCGCCTGCGAGATGATGGGCTACGAGGCGTCCGAGTTGGAGTCTATGGAGGGCGAAGAGGCCGTGGAGGCCCCGGGGCCAGCCCCGGAGCCGCGAGCCCCGGAGCCGCGAGCCCCCGAGCCGGAGCCCGAGCCGGGCTTGGACTTGAGCCTGAGTCCGAGCCCGTTGCCCGAGAGTCCGGAGCGGCGGGGCGGCAGCCCGGGACGGCGGAAGGGGCGTCGGGGCGGCAGCCGGAGGGGGCGGCAGGTGAGCAGCGGCGAAGCCCCGGCCCCCTGCTCGCCTAGCGTCCGGGACTCGGCCGCTCACCGTTCCGCCCTCTACTCCCAGGTTCGTTTTCACCTGGCGCCGGCCTCCCCGGTGCGGTCCGAGCCGCTGCTCGCCTCCGGTGCACCGAACGACGATTCCGCGGCACCGCACGAGCTGGAGGCGCCGGCCCTGCAGAGCAGCCTGGCTTTGAGTCTGGAGCTGCAGCATGCGCGCGCCGCCGTCGCCAGCGGCCAGTTTGATGCCTCGAAGGCGGTGGAGGAGCAGCTGAGAAAGTCGTTCCAGACCCGCTGCGTCCTGGAGGAGACCGTGGCGGAGGGTGAGGGGGACAGGCGCCCGCCCCGGCGCGGTGGTCTGGGGGAAGGGCGCTGCTCACCCTCGCCTTTCCTGCGCTCGCAGGCTTGAACGTGCCGCGCTCTAAGCGACTCTACCGAGACCTAGTGAGTCTGCAGGTGCCGGAGGAGCAGGTTCTGAACGCGGCGCTGAGGGAGAAGTTGGCGATGCTGCCGTCGCAGCCCCGAGCCCCGCCCCCGAAGGTGAAGGAAGGGATCGGGGACCTGGCTTCCTCCCCCGGGCTCTCTTCCTCAATCCGGAATGTAACCTTGCATTGGGCCTCACCTTCCCCACAGGAGGTGCTCGGGCAGGGGCCAGACATGACCATGCTGTGCAACCCAGACTCGCTCTGTTACGAATCTCCGCACTTGACAGTGGACGGGCTGCCCCCGTTAAGGCTTCAAGCCCGGCCCCGCCCTTCAGAAGATACCTTTCTCATGCATCGGATGCTGAGGCGCTGGGAAGCGTAGCCCCCACAACTCCCCGTAGTTGCCAGTCTGTACTTTCGTTAAAACTGTTTCATCATAGAATAAAGTTTTTATTTTTCTTTCTTTTTTTCTTTTTAAACATCTTAGCTCCTCGTGGGAAGCTGCCTATAGGTGTAAATTTTTCTTCCCTCTCCACAAGATGGCAAGCGGAAAGCCACTGTCTAAGTGTGGGGTTAGATTTTCCTTTCCACTTTCATCACCTTTGTTTTGGTTAGAATTAGAATTTCAGACTTAGCCTTACATCATGGTGCCATATCCCAGGACTTGGGAGGCTGAGGCAGAAGGATCCTGTGTTCAAGGAGTCTGAACTATGCAAGTTATTTCTTTTAATGTGGTTTCAGGCTGGGTAGGTTCAGCTCAGTGGTAGTATCTGGTTAAGCCTGTACAAAGCCCTGATTTTAATCCCCAGAGCGTGTGTGTGTGTGTGTGCGCGCGCGCGCGCGCGCGCGCATGCACAGGCAATAGAATGCTTTAGATTTCCACTTGGGCTGGGTGTGGCGATGAACACTTGTGAGGTAGACAGGAGGGTTGGGAGTTGCAGGTCAACCTAAGTTAGGGATACTGTCTCAACCACCACCACAGGGGGAAAATGCACCCTCACTGCCCCATTATAAGAACAACTTTTAATGTTTTTTTTTTTTTTTTTTTTTTTTGGTTTTTTGAGACAGGGTTT